TGGACTGCGGCCGGGCTGCGGCTAGCCAACCATTTTATGCATTACTATGTTCTATATTATTTGGTCGCGGTCATTTGTATACTGTAGTAATATTTTCAGAAGTATTTTATTTTTGTAGCCATAACGTAATGTGAAGTGTCGACATGAACGCGTGTTATACTTATAAATAGTGTTGTGTGCTTATTTGGTAGAAATCATGACTAACAACATCATGTAAGAACTTTAATGTTTAAAGAGTCGCATAATAGCGTTACTGTGATATGACACGGGTGCAAGTATAGTATAGCGCAGCCGCCGCAAGTCCTGCGCCGACTGCGCTGCTCGCACGCCGGCGACGGCCCCAGTGTGGCAGAGAGAACGAGAGTGCGCTACTCAACGAATTAAAAACTCATTATTATCATTAATAGCAAACATTTTTTCCTCGAGCAAATTATCCGACTCGAAGGACCAGTAAAGACTGTTTTAAACTTGATATCTCTGTGAGATGTCTACGTTAGGTAAAATTGATTCTAACTACCTCAGAATACATTGTTACAGACAATAATAACTCATGTTTTTATTCATACAAAGGGCTACGGTTTATTTCGGTTTCTATGACACTCGAATCATTTATAAAAATCGTAACTTAAAATAATGTTGATTTGAATAAATAAAAAATAATTATAATAAAAATTTCATTACAATAAAACTTAGACAGCAACATTATTTCTATTAAAATAAGCTAGTTATGTAAATTATGTAATGGAAAATAACATTGCACCTAAACGTTTATCTAATTAGTTTTAAGTTTTTCTTGTTTTAGGAAATGTTCCGTCGTTACGTAAAGTCGCGAAGTGCGCGACCGATTGCACTCAGAGACAATTATCTACATTTCAATGTGTCACACTAATGTTGTGGTCTAACAGCTAATGTTACTTAAATTGTAATTCGGGAAAGTTCCTAATTGAATGAACACCAGTTTGACATCATTTCTGCACTGATTTTATACAATTATTCTTTTTGTAATAACTAGCAATAGTAGATGTAATGTAAATATTGTAGGATTAAACTTTAAAGAAACTATTTTCACTACTAAATTGTCATTTTATTTTCATGTGTACCAGTGTAGCAAACATTTGGTACAAATCTTTACTTATAAATATGTAGCCCTGCACGATTCCAATAACGAAGTAACGACCCGAGCCGAGGCTCCTGAGGGAGCCCTTGAGTTTAGTTACCCATAAACGAGGTTTAGCTAAGCGCCATCTGCGCTCGGCCACCTCAAGCTCTGTGAATCTGTAAATACCTCTTCAAGGCAACAGTGGCAATTCAGTCACAAAAAAAACGGAGTACCCGTGTCGTGACATGGCGAGCATAGTAATTTGTCTAAGTAATAGTTTATATTATTTCGTAGAATAATAAATAGGTATGTAAGTTCTAAGTGCCTCGAGTTGTGATAGACTAGAGTAAACTTCAGCAGCAGCCGACAGCTGTCTTGAATGAAGAAGAATTGAAATTCAATAAATCATTTAAAAGAATATTAGTTCAGCTGTAGCACCCTACTAAAAGGATTATTATTGTAAAGTATGAGCATCGGTGGCTTATGGGTTTAAGCACTTGACTTGTAATCTACAGGTTATGGGTTCGAATCCCGCCATGTACCGATAAGAAAAAAGTGAAAAAATTCAAAGATATGGCTGAAGTTAACCAACCCGCAGTAGGCCAGCGTTGACTAACGCCCAGGGACCCCTTACTTAGCTCCGAGCCCCCCATTGGGGACGTATAGTGAGCTGGTGGTGATAGTTATAATGTTCAATATTTTTTTTTATAAAGAAACTCAGTTTTCTGTTTTTATTGCAACTGCCGTCATCCCCTCCATTACTTGTCATTCGATCACGAGCCACCGACGACTACACACGTATGCGCACTTGTCACCCGGTTCTTTGTACTGCTTTGATGTTTTACCTGATGTTACAATTCCTTGAGAGTTGCTGGAAACTAAGTAGTTTCCATATAACCCACTGCGTTTTGTAAATCTGTAAAAATGTAAAAACTTGGTTCTTATAATAAGGTGTATGGATTATTTAAACAAATGTTATTAAAGTAATTAAATTGTAAGTTTTCTATTGGCATATTTTATTTATTCCTGGGAAAACGTTAAATAAGTAAACTAAGTTATCAATAAGCAACTTTTTCAAGCATATTTTTTAAACTTGTAAATGTACATAGCTAGGGACTAATGTTGCATTACTACGTATGTACATGCATATTATACGTAAAAACAAGGAACTCTTGAATTACAACTTGTACATTTTAAAATGTTTCGGTTAATTTTATTAAAATAAAGCAAAACATTTGTGCACTGAAATGAACAATGTCTGGTATTATTTCCTTAATTTAATGTGTTTTTCAGACAGTCTTATAATTTAATTAAATTTTATTTAAAACTTCTCTTTCGTATGGTTTGTGTTTTTTATACTTAAGTTGAATAATTCTCTCGCAAATCATCTTAATTATAATGTTGACAGTATTTATTAATAATTGTGTGAAACTGTTGCATTCGTTCACATATTTACATATATAACAATCTTTACAATGAAATATCTCTAAATTATGTATTTCAATTTATTTGATCCTAGCGATATATTGCAAAAATATAACTTTTGTATACAGATGTAAGATTACAAGTTCAGGATTATTAAATTGCTAAGTAGCACTATCCAATGAAATGTTTATTATATGATTTATAATATTACACAGGATATTTTTTTCTTATTTGTATATAATATTGTTTAATTGGTGACATTATCAATTACCCAAAAATGCTGCTGTCTGTTGTGATCGATCAAAATAAAGTGATAACAGAGACGTAAATTATTTTTCATTTAACAATCTGTAGGCGTAACATATTGTTTGTGTGTTCTATTCGACCGTGGGTTCCCACTGATGTAACTATCTGTCGATATACACTACAAGAACCAATGTTGAAGTTTGTTTTTATTAACTTTAAAGTGGGGAAGGTATATTGACCCCTGAGGTTCGGGCTGTCTCTACTTTTGTCTTTTGTTATCTCCGGCGCCTTCCACAGGTCGAGTCGAGAGTCGAGAGTATATCTTAATTTTATATTTTTCAATTAAATGTAAACAATGTTATTTGCTGTATTGTTTATAAATTAATTACGAATTTAAAATTTATTTTGTAAATGATGATAGCTACAACATAAATATCAAATTACTGTTTAGTTTGTTATCCGTAAATTATCCCAGACTGTATTACTTAGAACCTTTCTTTCCTCCTTGTGACGTCATGTCATCAGGTCCACCGCCGTCTCGTTTGTCTTGCCACAAGGTCCACACGACGCTTTCGCGTTGCTAAATGCATGCGTTATCACATTGTGTCTGCAAGCAGTTATAATTATCGATAACTTCAGCCGCCGTCTTCACTTGAAATCAACACGAAATTGTTTTGTTATTAGAATAAAAAAACAACTATTCGGTTCGCTATCTGCAGACACGTTTATTATTTTAATGATAAGGCGATGTTATGTAAGACATCACTACAGTTGCGAAGCGATTCTGTCGCAGATTTAAACAATTTATATAACCTCTAAAAATTTTAATATCATCGAACTTTTATTCCTTTAACCTGCTATTGTAAATAAATTGTTAATAATTTACTTTTACGAAGAAAGCAATTGCTTTATGTAGAGTTATGATCAGTATCTGTCACTTGCCAGTTATGGATTTTGGTGGGTATACCGACTTCTATAAACGGATGGGCTATGACGGATGCGATATCTTCGCCAGCAGCGTGACCGTGTCCGCCTTTGCGGTGGTGCAAAATAGGTATAAAATAACTAATTGAGACATAACTAATCACGTTATGTCATTATTATCAACACGTGTGTTTAAGTCGGAATGAGAAAGCTATTATATGCAGGCGCAGACCTATGCCTTTGTAGAGGTCAATGGGTGGGTAGTAATGGTCACAAACTATCGCCGCCTCCATGAGGCAAACAGGTATGCTGTGTAGGCGCAACAGCGTTGCATAGAGGATGAGGGCATGAGGTTGCAAGGTTCGGCGTAGTGCTTGCTGGAGGTAGTATGATGAAGGAGGATGTCTGCGAGGATGCGGTCGGTGTGAGGTGCGATGTGAGGGCCGGCAGCCGCGCCTCCGCCGCGTCAGCGTCAGTCTGCGCGCAGCCGCCGCCGTCGCTGAACGTGCTCGCAAATATCTCTCCCAGACATTACAAGCCGGCCTTGGCGCTATTTCGACCAGTTCCCGCGCTCCGTTCTATTTATCTTACGTGTAAGTATACATTTTGTTTTCACCATTGATGATGATAGAAAAATATGTTTTATTTAAAATCTGATTTGAATTTATTATTTTATGATTAAATTCTAATAAACTAAGTTTAAAAATTATGGAGATGAGAATAATAAAATGTTTAACAATTTTCTCTCTCTGATATCTTATGCAATGGCTGTTAACAATTAACTTTACAATAATTTCCCCTCATTGTGATTGCCTGTCTCACTGCCTCACTGCTTCTGTTTCCTTTAACAAAACACATGAAAAAACGATTCAGCAACAAATAGAAGGAAAACATAAAAGTTCGTCATATATGGTTTTTTAAGTAAATCTGCGCAATCTTTTTTTGAAGGTCTGAAATATGAAAATTATATTTGTAGCGTGTAGGTATTAAACTTAAAGATGAACAAATATTTAAATTATTACGTAGTCAAGAAAACTTATATTACAAAATAAATATCTTACCAAAATAGAAATTACGCAAAGTTCAATGAGGCTGCACTACATTGAGCTTGTCAAAATTCTTCTGAAGAGTCTCTAAGAATAAATTACATGACTTCTAAATATTAAACATTAACAATATAACAATACATTTTGCTGTTAACTGTCTCAAAAGACTGCAAGTTGTCTTTTTGACGATATTGAAGCGGCTGGTGGCGCAGTGGTTGAGCGCTCACCAGATGTCTTAGTTTCCAAGTTGCAATTTGCTTTTAGTATCCAGTATTTCTCTGTATGAACTTTTGTCAAGAATCTATGTTATTTCCCTTCTTTAACAAAATTGCGCGTTTACTTTATAAAATATCATGATAAAAATTAAAGAGTGACAAAAGTCAAAACAATAAAAAATATCGTGACCCCGAGGCGATGTTATATGTCAATAAACATAAAAATGATAAATATTATCAGAGCCAGTTGTTTAGCGGCGAAGGTTACGCAAAATAATTTATTGGACTTAATTAAATTTACTACCAACCGTGTTGCCCGGCGCTAGCGCGTGCGCCTGCGCCTGCGTTGGCATCCCTCGGGTAACAAGGCTCACTAAACCATCTTCTTTAAACTAATGTATCTGACAAAACCCACACGTTTTCGGTATAATTTATTCTATAATTTTTTAATCGTGTATTTACTAAAAAAATATTTGTCTTTTGGTTATGAAAACGCAACGAAAATGTTGGTTGTGTTGTTCGTGTTATCAGATGTGTTGGCGCAGTTTCGCGTTTGATAGCTACTGAATACGTAAATAAAGCTACTCAGAGCAGCGGCTGCGAGGCGCCACACCTCCGCCGCGCGCCTGCTCAGAGCTTTTCATTTATTTTCTCGTGTAACTCGCTCACGCCCAGTCTCAGTAACCTCTCGCGGTGACGCGTTAACGCTAACGACGTAAACTTTTTAATTTTGGCACACTCCCGCTCCCCCCCCCCTCCGCTCAGCAGCTCCGAATATTTTGCTATACAATCTATTTTCGCAGATCACATCAGATAGGATAAGACGGCTCAAATCATTTGAGAGTATTTGTTGAATGAACATTTTAGACGTTTGTTTTGCAATGAGTACGTTTACTTCGTCTAAACATCTATCTGGTGTTAATTTATTCAAATTGTCATAAGAATACGTAATGTGGTGTTTACACAAGCGGCGGCGGAGCGTCGCGTCTCGCGTTGAATCGCTGGCCGTTGCCGGGGAGGGGGCGCGGGGCGCGGGGCACGAAGCCGGTCACAGCCGGATTTCGTCTCTGTATAAATATCAAATTATCTAACATTTCGATATCTTTTATGATCTTTAGAATGTTATACAACATTGCCGAGTTTGATCAGCTTTATGTCTAAAAAAAGCGATTTGCATTACAATTGACATGAGCCCGGCTACACGTGCCGACAGGGCTCGAGGCTCGAGGAAGTGCGGACGTGGTGGATATGCGTCTTCAATGGACGCAATAAATCTCAATAATGGTTTGATTGCTGCAGTTAAGAGTTGGTGCGAGAATAGTTACCGGACGCCGCGCCTTCAGGGGCGCTGCATTCACCGATAAGCGAAATGATTCAAAATAAGTAATTGTTATTTTTTTGAAATAATTATGTATATTTATATTATGCGTACCAAGAAGCGGTGTATGTATGCATCTAGCAGCTACGTCACCCTGCTCAAACAGTAGGCGTGTCACCAGCTGACCAGGGCGCGGCCGTTGTCATTGACTGGTCTTGCATACGTCCTGGACGCACGCGTATAGACTCTTACCAAATGCTTCCAGGTCTCGTGCGAAAAAAAATACGATTTACTGTGTAGTAGTAAATCGTAATTTATTTTTTGTTAATCCTTGCTTGTTTTTATACAGACGTACGAGTAATGTTATCTGGAGAATGTCCTATTAACTAATACTGTAAATTTATTACACCAGCCTGCTTTGCTATTTTCTTTTTTAAATTCCGTATAATGAATGGTCGTCGTAATTTCTAGTTTAGTTAATAACTTCTCGGAATAATTGAATAAATTGAACGATCTTAAAATATTAATGCACGACAAAACAACAAACTTCTGCCGCCATCTCAAAGATTTTGATTCATGACAATATCTATGTTTTGGTTTAAATTGTTTTAAAATCAATCAAAAACCGTTTAAACTAAATAAAGTTATGTTTATTGCCGCTTACAGCGCGTGTCCTCGGTTCTGTTCTTCAGTGTAGTATAGTTATTTAAACTTTAGTCTATGAAATGAGTTGATTGTATGAGTGCTAGGACCAATTAGTGTTGGAAACCTTGTTATATGGAAGTGCGCAGTACATTGAGGTAGCAGGAGAGGGCAGTGAGCGCTGGCGGTGGACCTCGGCCCCCCATGGCAGCCGGCAGTGGTGATGATTGCACTCTCGTTACAACGTACGTCACTCGCGTCGCTCGCCTGCGCTCACCAAGCTGTTAGCAGTTTCAGGATATTAATCACATCGTCATTTACTTCGATTAATGCTAAATACTCTTCCAGTAGTGGGTTCATATGGCAATTGACAAAGAAATTTCTTTGTTCACTAATTCAAAGCATATCAATAAAGATATATATTTTTTACTTATAAAATTGCGCACGTTTTGCGTTACATAATAAAAACTATTGCTACAGAATATATTAAACGGGAGTTTCTTAAAGAACTACATAGTGTCATGGTTATCCTAGTGGATCGAATCTTTTATTGGCACTCAGCTGTTAATGGATTTGACCCGCGTCGCCCCCTTCCCCCCGCCGCCCGCCGCCCGCTCGCGTGACCATCGTCCACTGCGCTGCACCTCGCCGTTTGAAGTCGCCGGCGGCGTTTCCTTCTCAAGCTTCAATTGTATAGGGATTCGGCAGCAGCATAACTTACGAGTAGTTTGTCATTTATCATAGATTAGCCATGTAGATTGCATCGTTATTGACCATTACGTTATTTCTTATGTTTACTGTTATTTGCTGCAAAAGTATTATGATTAACGTCAGCTTACATTGCATGGCTTTCTTTCCCGCGGCGCGGCGATAAGCTGCGTGTATCTTATCACAGTAATCGCTCGCGCCTACCGCCCGCCGCCGCCGCCGCTCGCTCACTTGATTAGCGCTCAGTACATATTGCTTCATTTCTTTACTAATTGACATCATTGATCGCATGTGGGCATTCCATATGCGACCAATAGGTAGATATAGTACGCGATACGAAAGTAAACCCATATGTGCCGGCTACTGTTCATGTAAGCCACATTAAAAAACGAATGAGGTATCTGAATGTCTCGTAAAATTCTCCGAAGTGCTTGATTTAGTTGAGTTTTGTGCATTACCATAATGAGGAACAGAAAATTTTAGAAATAGGGCGGCATGATTTGATTGACGTCATCGCCGAATTAATTAGAAGCCCCGCAAACTCTGTCGCCAAAGCACTTACAGCTTGTCTTTAGCTTTTTTAGTCTTTAGCTTAACAGCTGTTGATATTAAAGAAATAGTGATTGAATAATTAAAAACGAAAAAAATCACCTTACAAAACCATAATTATTTGTTCTGAAATAAATGCTATGCTTAATGCACCGTGAGACTGCGTGTGTGAACTCATGCCTTTTGATGCAAAAATACTCTGTCCAATTGTCGCGGCATTTTATTTTGATTCTGACACAGTTTTAAATTTTCGCGGCCGTGTGTGTATATCATATTTTCAAAGCATTCCACTGACCCTGTGCGTTTAGTGTTTGAGTGTTGAACATTTTACAATCGATAGTTTGCCATAGTTCTAGGAATGACTGCGACTTGTGACAAAAAGCGAACCATTTAACTATGTAAAGGATGTGCCGGCAGCACTTGGATTCTTGTTGGACACAACGCTAGACAAACACACGGCGTCGCTCACCCATCCAGTATTGATTGCGACGTATTGTTTGACTGGTATCAAGTGCGTGTGTGCTGTGTGTCTACAGCCGAGCATGTAACTGCCCTCCATCCATCTATATCAGATCAAAAAGCGCTATAAAGTAGAGACTTTACAGTAAAATAACAAGTTACACGTTACAACATCTCATTTTAATTAACTCGAAGATAATATTCGATATGGAATGTGTCAGGGAGCAGACGCGACGCGGTCTTATCTACAATGTTTTTGCTAAAGGAAAATTTCTCGCGATTTGTTTTTTTTACATTATCGACGTGACGCCGTTCCCCGGGTACTGGGACACTTGTACAATAAATAACATTTATCGAGTCCTTCACCTACCTACGGACACATTCGCTTACATCACGAATGGAAATTCTGTGAATGTGAATAAAATGTCGCATTTTTGCGAACAGAGCGCAGCCGGGAAGCACAGGTTATCGCATTCTTAGAGATAACATTTTGTATTCTATCTTTTATTGAGGATAGCCTATTCTAGTGCGGCTTCATCCGCACGAAATTATGATTTATTTTATTATTTACATTTGTCAAACTATGAATAGCAAATGTCAAAATGACATGACTTGACAAATCTTGGCAATCATGCTTCCCTGAGGTTGGCAGCAACTTATGGTCTCTTTCTCACATTAGAGTTTTAATCCAAAATCTATACCCCTAAGTTTAATGGCGTGAAAATATATAGCCTAAAACGTGACGTAAGTATAGGGCTTATAGTTAATCAAAAATATGTTGTAATTGCTGACATCTTAGGCAACAAAGAAGTGTGTGTTTACGCTTTATTATAATAGTATAGATTATTGTGATTAAATTATGTAATGAATCGTTTTACTCTTATAATTTGTTTGATATAGCTATATTTGCAGAAGAAAAATACTGCGGTGTTTTAGTCATTTCGAATTCACCACAACAGCAGCATTGTCCATACCTTAGAAGGCGCTTTCCTTACAACGTTGTGACGTCACAGTCACTGTGCCATCACTCGGGGTCACATCGCCTCAACCATTGCCTCTGCTTATCTTAATAGCTAAATGTTATAGCTATATTCATATAAAATTATGATAACAAATCTATACTAATATTATAAATATAAAAACATTGTTTGTTTGATTGTAACGAATAAGCTCAAAAAGTACTGGGCCAATTTAAAAGTTCTTTCACCGTTAGAAATTTATCTGTAAGTAACATAGGCTTAATTTTTTCATTTCTTTATTATTATTTTTAAATTTCACACGGACGCAGTCGCTGGCAAAAGCTAGTCTAATAAATGCAGTAAATCTGTACGTGAAATCTTAAAACAATGCGTTTTATTTAAGTAGTGCTCTCAGAACGGAAGACGTTCATGTACAGATTTAATTGAACACAACTTATGTGCCATTGTTGGTAATTAGTTATATAAAACGTGACGTAAATATGTATGTGTGAGTTAATTTATCTTCACTAAATAAAGTACGTCAGACAGTAGAACACGCCATCCCAGCGTTACCTCTGACATGGCTGATGATCGCTCCGAGGAAACCAACGTGTTTGTATTGCTCTGTCATCATAGCTACATATTATTCTTTATTTAGTAAATAACCGAATAATTCGTAAGAAATTACCGAAGCTACGTTTCACGTCAGAGATATGAATAAATAAACATGAAATCTGCATCGTCAAATGTTGTTTAGTAATGGTTTTGTGTATGTGCTCAGATCCGACAGTCAGTAGTCGCGACAAACACCACTCACTAGATACCAGGAAGGTAGTTAACAAAGTCGCCTTCTTATAATAGCTGTAAGTATATCTCGATAATGTTTGTTTGTTAGTCGTTGGATTTAGATTGCAATAATTTTATGTTTTATCGAAATATCTCAGAATAACATGATCGCGCGTGCATTCGGCGCGGGTTGAGGGAGTGGGGGGAGGCAGTGGGAGTGGCGTGACGTCATGAGGGGATTATGAGTGTTGGGAATCGAACTCGGGAACACTCGGTTACTTAAAGTACAAAGAACACCCTATAAACATTACTATATAACATTGAGAATCCTCTCGAATTCAAACTTGTGTCTTTTACAAAGCGAGAGTACCATTTCTACAAAGGCCGGCAACGCATCTGTAGTTCTCTGGTATTGCGGATATCAAGAGCATCCATGGATTAATGGGTTTTCCCGACGCTCGTCGTTCTTACAACGCGACTAAAAACATAGTACTATGCAAAAAGTTTCTTATTAGTTGAGAGTCACGTTATGATAAATATGTCGACATATTTTTCACTATCCTTGCGTATGCAGTATCAATTATAGATGAGTATCGCGCGCTTTTCTCGCCGCTGTTAGATAGTATGTCTGTCGATAACGCCGCGCCATTGGGCCAGGCCCGCCGCCAGCCTGCCTGCATGCCAGCGTGCCAGCCCGCCAGCCCGCGCCGGCAGATTGCTATCATTTGGTCATTTCGCGAGTCATTGTTTGCTACTGGTAACTTCGCGGCCTTGATGTAATCACCTCAATGCTGACAATTACAATGTTGTAAAACGCAGCGCGCCGCAATGTAATAAGCGGATACATCTGAATCTCATCCGAAACATAAAACTCGTAAATTCCGCGGACTTTATGTGTGTATTCGATTTTAGTTATGCTAGTTCTTACTTCAAGTCGCCAATAATCTTTCTCTAGTGAATTCTTATTACTTCCTAGCTTTCAATAATTTATATTTCAGTGTTATCTTCTATTTTATTTATTACCGACTTTATTTATATTCTTTGTGGCATTTCCAAATGTTACTAATACACGTCAACATTAATGCAATGCAACTTTATTTACTTTTTCAAAGGTGTATATCTAATTGTAACATGATATTTTTTTCCAGATTAGAAAATTTCATCACTAGTCCACATAATGTCGACGGTAGTGGACTTCGCGTTGGGAGGAGAGGCGCGCGTCAACGGACATGGCTCACAACTAAACGGCTCTACTCAGCTGAACGGCTCAGCGCAGCACAACGGCTCAGCGCAGCACAACGGCTCAGCGCAACACAACGGCTCAGCGCAACACAACGGCTCAGCGCAACCAAGCGCAGGGCGCGGTCTGTGGGATGCACAATTTTTGCCTCCCCCTTTAGTGTTGGAAGATCGCAGTCGTGCTCTAAAGGTAATGACGATAGAATTACTGAAACAATCGAAGCGGCATCGCCCATTATTTATACGAGGTTCGAAGCGGACGAGATTCCGAAAAAATAACTAATCATCATGATGAGGGAAGAACAGCTGAAATAATATATTTATGTGTATTACGACAATTTAAAGAACGAATTAATATTTCTTTTTTATTTAAAAGGGCAAATTAATTTAACTATATCACCAGATGGGTAAAGTTTTAAAAGTCTCGTCAACTTGAGATTGTCTCTAGATAAAGTCATAATATGCTAATCCCCCGAATTCATTTCCTTAAGATTTCCTTCTATAGGTAACTATGCTGTTTATGCTGTTGTTTGTTCCTAGTAAAGTTGAAATATTTTTTCAAATCTTGGTTCAGCGAGAATCGCTATCGTTAAAAGTACTTTCAAACGATTGCCTATTTACTGAAAACATGCGTAACAGTAGTTTATCGTTTAATTACGCACTAATACTACACTAAAATCCAATAGATTAGAGAACGAAAACCGGCTAGGTATGTTACATTTTTGACGCATGAAAAATTCATCGATTAGATAATAGATCCTTTGTTCGAGTACATCGTGCCCAATAACTAGACTTGCACTGATGTCTAACCGCTCGCCGCGCCGCGGCCGCTCAGCGCTCAGCGCTCGTTTGCTTCCTAGCCGTCCTGCGGCCAATCTCATACCAAATACAATTACCTAAACATTCACGTATTTCCTATTTCCTGTGCAACACTCATTAATACCGAAATGAAGGAAAAGTGTTTATGTAAACGTATTTGCTCATCTCAGATATAACTAATTACAAATATATAGTTATTTATGGGTGCAGAGACGATGCACGAGCCAATGAAATTGTTTCAGAGGTCAAGACGTTTGCGTTAGGCGTACAATCATTTATCATATCAGTAACCTCTGATAGAGGTTTAGTGCGTCGCGGTTCAAATGTAGCGATAGCTATGTATTATAAACTAAACCTATCACCGTCAACACAGACACACCAGGAAGTTTATACGACGTAAATGAATGTTACATAACCGAAGTAAACTTAATTGCTCTTAGCTGATTTTTGTTGTATACCTTAGACGACTCCAGAAAATCCTTCCCGTCACCGCCACAGCGAGCGTCTTCTTTTCTCAACTCAAGGATCCTCGTTGACACAAGTATCGTTAAGCGTAGTTCTCGAAAGTTCTTGAACGTGTCCGTGGCGGCAATAATTACTTAGACGCGAAGTGACGGCGGCGGCGGCGGCGGCGGCGGTGCACTCTACTATTAATTGCAATTAATTGGCTTCTCCGGATGGAACAATATCTCAATAGAGTAATATTCCTAACTTGTAAACGTCAATTTGCCAGACATCGTTCCAGAAAAATAAAAAATATAATTATGAGAATTTGTGATTAGGGAAGTGAATTAACTATTCATTGTTGGCAGCGGCGCATTTGGGCCACAGCTGTGTCGCGTGACCACCTTCCGTTGGCGGCCGGCGCAGTGGCCATTGTTGCCCACTTGTCCGCTTATTTGCGAATTCATGCGAGTGTACAAAAAGTCCCGACACGTGAGCAGCGTGTGCGCATTGCGGCAACCGAGCTACGTTCCCTGAGAGCTGACCACCTCCTATCCGCATTGCAGGGGTCACATCGCAAGTTGATGTTAAATTTAATTTAACATGGCCGCGATACGAACACCGCGACCGAGGTTATTTGCACCAGTGCAGTGCCGGTATTTACTTTTGCCATAATGTTTGTGAAGCTACGCCTGACACTAAAGACAGCGTCAACTACATTTACCTGATTTTGATGCGATTGAATGTTGTAGAAACTCATCGTCAGCAGTCACTTCACTGTGCACTGAGGCCATAAAGATAATTACAACATTAACAGCAGTAATTAGATACCCCGCCGCGGTTAATTCTTATATTATTTTATTGTACTCATTATATCTGATAGCACGATATCATTACTCAACTAAGTACATACATATTTTACTGATATGTTCGGCAAAAGTTTTGCGCAGTTTGGTTTGTTGATTCTATCTAGTGTTTGGATAGAGTTAGAGTCATATCGAAATCAACTTTTAAGCAAGGCTACACCGCCGCAGCTTGCTTACAAAAAGAGGCTAGTTTTAAAGAATTAAAATCCGCAGGTTGCAGCGCGGTTGTCGGGGCTGGTGTTGTGCGGGCGGACGCTGGTGCGTGTTGGGGAGACCTTCGCGCGAGAGCTGGAGCGCGGGCTGTGCGGCAAGCCCTCCAGCCTGCAGATGGAGAACACCTACGTGCCTGAGCTGCCCGACGGCACCGGTCAGTTCTCCGCCGGCCGGTCCCAGCCGACACGGCCAACATCACACAGCGCACCACAAATTGCTACCTATGTCGTATAACTATTTAGTCATACAATTATATTTTATTATATACAAAGAATTACATTAACGCGCATTAACTACAGCTGCAGATCTAGTTAAGTATAATTAGTTAGAATTTTTAGCTTACGAAATATCATATTTGGCAAAAATAGATAAACAACTCAGCGAATGTTACACCTGGCTGTAGCGATAACGTTGTTACCAACATGATACAAGCATTGTCCGCACTCTGTAACTTCAGAATAAGTCAGAACTGTCAATCGATGGAAAGCGGGGATTCAGAACCTAAAGGATATTAGAAGTAGCTACGGAGAAAAATTACATCTAAGAAATACGTATAAACGATACGCGAAATAAGTAGTCTTAAGAAATTTGATTCTTAAGATTAACCGTTTGCGGTTAGACATTTATTATTGTCGTCAAAATTTGCCAATTATGTACTTTCGTGACACACGCTCGTGCATATGTTGTGTGGCGCGCACTGAGGTGTCTCTGCAACTTGGCAGAAGAGGGCGTGTTCCTGGCGCTGGACCTGGGCGGCACCAACTTCCGCGTGCTGCTGCTGCAGCTCGCCGCCGGCCAG